ACTCCGCCACTGTCCCATACTGCAAGGTCCTTCCCCCATGAGGTCACACCTGAAGACCTTCCTCTTTCACCGTGCCTATGGTCAGCTTCCCCTCCCATGGCTCGGCGTCGTGCTCTGCCACTGTCAAGCGCTCTGGGACTCTACCCTGCATGAAGGGGCGGTACATAAAAGCAAGTTGCTGTTGAAGGATATCAGATCCTTAACTGTCTCATTTGTTGGAGACATATAACCACAGCTTCATCAATGCTGCTTTTCAACATTCTGCAAGATGATTGAGGAGTGACACGGATTGAAGTAAAAATAACAATTATCCCTTGTAGGCCGGAATAACTGCAGATATCAAAGGCATAGGTCTCACAAGAAAACTGCAATGGAGTGAGTGAGTGAGTGAGTGAGTGAGTGAGTGAGTGAGCGAGGCAATAAGGGAGTGCGTAAGTGAGTGAGAGAGGCAGTGAGTGAGTGAGTGAGTGAGGGAGGGAGGGAGGGAGGGAGGGAGGGAATGAGTGAGTGAGTGAGTGACTGAATGAGGGAATGAGTGAGTCAGGGAGGTAGGGAGTGAGTGAGTGAGGCAGTGAGGGAGCAAGCAAGCGAGTGTTTATTTGCTCCGCCACCATATCATTCACAACTCTCCTGACAAGATTATAGAGGCTAACACCATTCAGACGTACGTGGGGCAGGAACACTGCTGGGGAGATTGTGTATTTCATCTCCATTCTGCAGGGAAAGCAACCGATCACACTTGACATCTCCTTCCCTACAGTACAATTGAAATCAGGACCTTCTGTCCTGCCCAACTAATAGCTTTGGAAGTATCAAAAAACCTGTCAAAATGTTTGGAGAAACAGTTCTTAGAATCAAGCTGATCTGCCTCCTTACAGCGAGGACGATGGGTGTGCTTTCTGAGCTCAGAAACAAAGGTTCAATCAATTATGCACCAGAAACATTTGCTCCTCTAACTTTAGTGATGAATGGCTTGTGGTTCGGCAGCCATTTGACTGGCCAGCTTCGTCCCTGGAACCGTTCCAACCACAAAGCAGCTCCAGCCAAATCCAATCTTAGCAGAAACAAAAGCTAAGTTTGGAATCATTCCTCGTGTGGCCGATTTCAAGATCCTCTCACTCGTTTTAAAATCCCTTCATGCCCTCACACCTCTTGACCTACCTAACGATCTGCTTACCCACCACTCCCCCACCCGCTGCCTCTGCTTGGCTGGCTCTGGCCTCCTGTTTGTTCCCCCACTCCACCATCGGCCTTCAGCCACTATGCCACGAAACTCTTTCCCTCAATCCCTCCTCCTTGCCTCCTTTCCTTCCACTTTCAAATCCCGCCTAAAGATCCTCCTTTTTGATCGTGATTACAGTCACCTCCCTCCTCCCTCTCCCCCTGGCTCGGTGTTAAGACTCCTCCATTGTCAGGTACTCCGGGACACTACCCCGTATTAAGTTGTTGTTGTTGACCGAATTTGTGTTGGCAGGATTGACCTCCTTCGGCAGGATTGACCCAGCAGACCCCAGACTGACTCCCCATTTATTTAGGCAGTGTACAATCCATACCCGAAAGGTTTGTTGTTATGAAGAAGATTGACAAAGGAAATCAGCAATAAAATGGTTTTCTCCTCAAAGTGACTAAGCACAGACAGTCACAATTCTCACTTGTGACAACAGTTGATGCCAAACAGTGGAATTCAATTGAACCAGCTCTCCTGGCAAGCGAAGCATGTCTGGTCCACTGCGAGGTGTGTTAGAGCAGCAGTGGAATTCTTTATAATGAAGTTTCATCTACATGGATGAAAGCACTGAACCGTTCCTGGTAACAGAAGTGTTCTTGCAAATGATGGAAACAACTCTCAGCTGTTTTTGCCTCTCTACTCTGGTGGCATGAAGCTACATTATAATAGAAAGGGATATTGTAAATGATAATAATCACTGCATTTGATAACAGAGCCTTATCATGTCTTCGAGACGTCTAAAAGCGCTTCACAGAATATACTGTAAAGTGAATTGAATGTATATTTTGTGTGCAAAACGCAGCAGCCAATTGCACACAGCAGCGTCCCACAAACAATCGTGGATTAAAGTAACCAATTTATTATTATTATTTTTTTGAAGGGATTACTACCCCCGGAAAAGTGATCCGCCAATCAACTAACAATTGGGTTGCTACTTGCTGCTGGGTAACAGAGGCGCGTGTGTGCGGTAAGGAAGGAAATTGGCCAAACATTTCGTCCTGCCCAGGAATCAAACCCAGGTCTCTTGCTTGTGAGGCGAGTGCTCTAACCACTGAGCTACAGGACTCCACTATACTGGAGCTGGTTTAGTTTTGGTTGGGGGACAATTACAATAGATTTAGATGGAAAGACTTTGGGAAAGAGGGAGTGAGTAGAAATGAACTGAACATAATGCACAGCTTGAGTGGAAAGGAATTCTTGGGGTTCGAGTTACAGCAGAAACCACAAGTCTTGAAAGTAATTCCAATCCAGTGAGAGGGATACTGCCTTTAGATCCCTTGGAGAGATCCATGGCTTCTCTTCAGTCGACATTCCGTTACCCAAACCCAACTCTTACCGTCTCACAGAGACCAAAAGCAGATGCACAAATTGGTCACTAACGGAAACAGAGTATCACAGCCTCCAGGTCTTATCTTCGCTTCTGTGACAGTCCTGATATATTGTGCCAAATTAATTGTTTTACCACTCAAAACATGACCCCAAGCAATGACATAAAGGTACCCCTTTGGAACTCCATTCCACAGTCTCTTTGCCTCGTCCCCTCCCTTGCCTCCTTCAAGGCCCGTCTCAAAACCCTCCTCTTCGACCAACCGCGCCTTCGGTCACCCTCCTTTCCCTATTTTCCCTGCTCTTCACCCCTATCCTCCCCGCTCTCCAGCCCTCCTGATCCCAACCACCAGCTTGGGTCCAAATCCCTGATCGTCCAGCGCCTTGGAACGTCCTCCCAACGTGAAAAGCGCTTTGTAAATGTCATTTGTTGTTGTAGTTGGGCAAATCAAAATATTCAGTTCTGCCCTTGAAAATTCAGCCAAGACTTGCACAAGCGAGAGGAAACCAAGTTGAATGCTCAGCAGGATTGTTTTTTTTTGAAGCGAGGGGGGCGTTGGCTGGGTAAAAACACTTGTTTGGAACACTACCTTGTCCCCACCGGCAACAGAAAGAATCTTGTCTGAGTCTGTGAGCCTCTGGGAATTCTTGGAGTGAAAACAATCTTACTGGCGTCAGTCGGTCACACCCATGACCTCCACCTGAACCGAGCAAGCAGGAGGGTGTATCCATTCATCTACATTTATTTCCTGAAAGTTTGGCTTAGCTGATTGAACAAAACAAGGGCAGCAGCCGGTTGTAAAGAGCTGGCACACACTCAATAGGCCATAAATGCAGTGCCGATGTCTTTCTAGAAATGAAAATCTCTCTTCAATGCTCAATTAATTCCAGGTACATGTTTAACTGCCAAACCTAATAGACTATAGACACCAAATTGTTTCAGTATCAGTTACCAAATAGCGCTCACACTTGGTAACCACATCCCAACAAAAACCTGAGGTGTACATGGCGAGTCAAACCCAACAACAAAACAAGGACAAATTGCGTTTATATAGCGCCTTTCACATCGGGAGAAGGTCCCAAGGCGCTGACCCACACAATCTCTCTCTCCCCCTCCCCCCACCCTACAATAGCCATCTCATTGCAGTGCCATTCACTGAAATAAATCCCAATAAATTAACAGAACTCTTAATGGAATTCGTGCCTCGCGTTTCAAGGCTATGTACCAAAAGCGTTGATAATTTTACAGCCACACTCATTGGGACACAATGAGCATGTGCGCAACATTCCATAAGTGAGAAAGAGCCCGCAGCCATTTTATCAGGAAACTGATGAGAAATCGATAAAATGTGCAGTTTTCAATGCCAAAGATAATCCCTAAAATATCCGGAGCCCTGTAGCTCAGTGGTTAGAGCATTTGCCTCGCAAGCGAGAGGACCTGGGTTTCATTCCAGGCAGGATGAAACATTGGGCAAGTTTCATTACTCCACACTCCTCTGTTTACTTAGCAGTAGTTAGGAACCCAGTTGCTCGAATTCAAGATCCTCATCCTCACCTACAAGGCCATTCACGGCCTCGCTCCCTCCTACCTCTCCGACCTACTATCCCCCTACCTACCTGCCCGTACCCTCCGTTCCTCTGGCTCCGGTCTGCTCCACATCCCCCGCCCCAACCGCCCTACCATCGGTGGCCTTCAGCCTCTCAGCCCCGAGGCTCTGGAACTCCATCCCCAGTGCCTTCGCCGCTTCCTCCCTTTCCTCCTTCAAGGCCGGTCTCAAGACCTTTCTCTTTGACCTTCAGCCTTCAGCTCCCCTCTCGACTCTCTACCCCTCATCGCTCCCTCCCTTCCCTCCCCTCACCCTGACCATTTCCCCAATGCTCCGGTCCTGTACAGCGCCTTGGGACGTCCTCCCAACGTGAAAGGCGCTCAATAAATGGAATCTTGTTGTTGTTGTTGTTCGTTGATTAGCAGATCAAAAAGTTTTTTTAAAAATAATTTGGTCACTCGATCCACGACTGTTTGTGGGACGCTGCTGTGCGCAATTGGCTGCCATGTTTCGCCCACAACATATACTGTCACTACACTGTACAGTATATTCTGTGAAGCGCTTTGCGACGTCTCGAAGATGTGATAAGGTGCTGTATGAAATGCGAGGATTACTATTATTATATAGAAAGAAAATGGGCCACTTCAGATGAATATGTTTGTTCCTTTAAAACCCCAAATTGGGAGGTTACGTTTTATTTTTAACAAGGAGGGATGGAAATATCACAGATGTTACACACAAAACAACGGAACTCGGAGACGCCAGGTTCTTCACTGGATAAAGAATTGTCCAAAGCGTCTGAAAGGAAAATCATTACCTTGTGCTCTGACAGCAACAGTAAGAGGCAGCCATGGGTACGTCTTGGGAGAAAATGGGAGTAACACAATTCAGGTACTAACCTCACCACCTGCTTTAAGTTGCCCTTTACGCAGCTTTGCTTCATACTGCAATGAATGGGAAAGAATTAAATCAGTTTAAGCGTGCCAGTCAAGAATTGAATTCATCAACATGCTCAACACACATTATGCACATATGCTAACCTAGTTCTGATTAAAATCTTAAATGTTTTCAACAATCAAGTGAACTTTAGTTTAAATTTACAATAGTTTAGTACTATAAATAAAAATGCAGTATAAAATTACCAGGTGGTACTTTTAACATCTTATATCTTACAGAATCTTTACCAGAATCTTTAGGGCGAGAGGGAAGGGTAAGGTGACTGTAATCACGATCAAAATGAAGGTCTTTAGGCAGGATTTGAAAGTGGGGAGGGATTGAGGAAGAGAGTTCCATAGCTTCGAGGCTTACTGGCTGAAGACATGGGGAGCGGAGGGGATGAGAAACAAACAAATTGACATTGGCCCAACTCGTCTCCACACAAAAGACCTCCATGTATACACACAACTTAAAAAAAGCTAAATCTGCTTACACGAAGATGCCAGTTTGCTAATGCCCTGAACGAGCTGTAAGTAAGTGGCTGTTAGTGGATTTTAAGCAGCCAAGCAACTCTCAATAACCACTGCGACAAATAGCGCAACCCACTCTGTGAAATGTCACAGTCATGATAACCTTGATAGTCCCGACAATGCCAAAGATAATCCCTGCTCTAAATGCTGGTGAACATCTGCTTTTACCTTAATCTCACCTGTCATCAGGATCTTTAACCCATCAACCATCACATTCTCAACACTCAAAACACAATAACCATAATACCACACCGAATACCATGAGCAGCATGATTCACCAAGGTCCTGTTTAACATCAGGGTTTAAATCAAGTTAATTCCATTGCTACGGAATGGATACGACTTTGCATGCTGCTATAATAACCTTCGTATTTCATATAGCATCTTACCACATCTTTGAGACGTCTCAAAATGCTTCACAGAATCTACTGTAAAGATAATAATAATAATAATAATAATCCTTGCATTTGATATAGCGCTTTTCACGTCGGGAGGACGTCCCAAAGCGCTTCACAGAATATACTGTAAAGTGAATTGACTGTATATTTGTGGGCGAATGCGGCAGCCAATTGCGCACAGCAATGTCCCACAAACAGTCATAGATTGAAAATGACCAATTTATTATTGTTTTTGTTTTGGAGGGATTATTATTAGGCTCTGTGTGGAGTAAGGAAACTTGCCCAAGGTTTCGCCCTCTGCCTGGAATTGAACTCAGGTCTCTCGCTTGCAAAGCGAGTGCTCTAACCACTGAGCTACAGGACTCCACGTAATAAAGATTATTACGCCCTGGAAAAACAACAACAACTTGCACTTATATAGTGCCCTTCATGTAGGGTAGTGTTTCAGAGCACTTAAAAGTGGCGGAGCCTGACTCCGAGCGGGGAGGAGGTGGGCGTAAGCACGGTCGAACAGGTACGTTTTCAGGCAGGATTTGAAAGAGGGGAGAGAGCGGACAAGGCAGAGAGATTGAGGGAGAGTGTTCCAGAATTTTGGAGCGTAGTGGCTGAAAGCACGACCTCCGATGGTGGGGCGGAGGGTGCGAGGGATGAGCAGGAGCCGGTGGCAGTTGAGCGGAGGCGCCAGGTGGTGGATTGGGGAGTGAGGTCAGAGAGGTAGGGAGGTGCCAGAGAGTGAATGGATTTGAACACGAGAGCGAGGATCTTGAAGTCTATCCGTTCGGTGATGGGGAGCCAATGGTGGAGCCCGGGCTAGAACTGGTGAGATGTGGGTACAGAGTTTGGTTCGGGTCAGTATGTGGCCGGCAGAGTTCTGAATGAGCTGATCTTGTGAATGGTGAAGCTGGGGAGACCGACAAGGAGTGCGGGCAATGTGGCGGAGGTGGAAGAAGGAGGACCTGGTCAGGGACCAGATGTGGGGGAGGAAGGACAGTTGGGGGTTAACCCCGATGCCTAGGTTGCGCACTGGTTCGGAGAGTCTGAGGGAGAGCCCAGGGAGGTTAAGGAGTTCAGATCCTCAGGAGTGAAGACGCTGATGGGAGCCCGGGAGTATGGCTTCTGTCTTGTCCATACTCACCTGCAGGAAGTTTACACTCATCCAGGCCTTGATGTCTGCCAGACTTGGGAGTTGGTAGTGGAGGAGGTAAAGTAGATTTTCAAAGAGCCGGCACAGACTCGATGGGCTGAATGGCCTCTTTTTGTGCTGTACGATTCTATGATTCTAAGTGGAAGTTTACCCCATGTCTGCGGATGATACCAGCCAGAGGGACTATATAGATAAGGAAAAGAAGAGGGCCAAGGATGGAGTCCTGGGGTACCCTGGAGGTGACTGGTTGGGGAAGGGAAGAGAAACGATTTGCTGAGATGAAATGGAGGCAGTTGGTTACGTACGACTGGAACCATGCTTGTGCAGTCCCACTAAGGTAGATGAGGGAGGAGAGCTGATGGAGGAGAATGGTGTGGTCGACTGTGTTGAACATGGCAGAGAGATCCAGGCGGATGAGGGGACAGAGGGAGCCCTGGTCACAGATAGAGAGGATATCGTTTGTAACTTGGACAAGCGCTGTCTCTGTTCTGTGGGCAGTCAGGGCGAAAATCAGACTGCAGGGGCTTGAGAAGGGAGTGGTGGGAGAGGTGTGACCGAAGGTGACCTGCATCAATGTGCTCCAGGACTTTGGCAAGGAAGCGCAGGTTGGAGATGGATCGATAGTGTGCAAGATTAGAGGGATTGAGGGTGGTCTTTTTGAGGAGGGGTGTGACTTCAGTAGTTTTCAGGGGGAGTGGAACGGAGCCTGAGGAGAGAGACTGGTTGATCGTGTCAGCCAGCAGGGGGGAGAGAAGGGGGAGTTGAGTGACCAGCAACTGTTGGGGAGGGGGTCAAGGTAGCAGGTGGTAAACTTCATCTGGGTAATTGTAGTTGAGAGGGAGGAGAAATGGGGGCAAAGAAGTGTAAGGAGAGGGGAGTGGCAGGAGCCGTGGCGGGGGAAGAAGGTGGTGTGGATGGTCTGGGTGGGGTGGAAGGGGACATGGGGTGGGGTGGGGGGGGGGAGAGAGGATGATGCAGTCATCGACTAACAATCGGCTTCCCATTTACGTTAGGTAAACAGAGGTGTGTAGAGTAAGGAAACTCGCCTAAGGTTTTGCCCTGCCCGGAAATCAAACCCAGGTCCTCTCACTTGAGTGCTGTAACCACTCAGCTACAGGGCATCGCAGGGAATGGTGGAGCTGGGGAGACCGGCAAGGCAATGTGACGGAGGTGGGAAAATCAGTTATCCTCCCACTCTGAATCTCTTTTACCAAGGGCTGAGTTCACAGAGCACATATCTAGTATCGAAGCTGGTTCGAAGTGTTCGAAGCTGGTTAGCTTTTTACGTTAATAAAAAGGAGCAAGGGGGAGTGTGCGTGTGTGTGTGTTTGGGGGGAGGGAGAGTGCCAGGGCATGAAGGGATTTGAAAACAAGTGTGAGGATCTTGACATTGATCCGTTCAGCGACAGGAAGCCAATTGAGCCTATCTAGAACTGGTGTGATCCGGCAATTGAAGGAGGGCCTTGACTGCCCTTAATAGTGAGTTTCCATTGCATTTATATCTCAGATTTAGTTGGTAGTGTGCAATTTAGGAGTTCAAATTACCTCACTGCACACAAGCCAACATAACACCAGCTTGTGAAAGGTGAAGCCAGAGACTAGATTAGGTTACAAAGGTTCAGTGACATTTCTACATAGATTTTCTCTTACGCACACACACACACAGAATGCATCGCCACTTATTTGAACACATACATGATGTACCCAAAGTGAAGGTTGGCCCTGAAATATTTAAACAACCAAGGTAATGTGTTTCTAATACAATGCAGATTCAGTTACTACTGAAATGTGGAGTCCTGCAGCTTAGCGGTTAGAGCACTCGGTTTGATTCCCGGAAAAACAAGTGTTTGTGGAACACTGTTGTGTGCAATTGGCTGCCAGGTTTCACCTGCAAACTGTAGCCCACCTACCATGTAATAATACTAATAATCCTTGCATTTGATATAGCGCTTTTCACGTCGGGAGGACGTCCCAAAGCGCTTCACAGAACACACTGTAAAGTGAATTGACTGTATATTTGTGGGCGAACGCGGCAGCCAATTGCGCACAGCAATGTCCCACAAACAGTCGTAGATTGAAAATGACCAATTTATTATTGTTGTTGGTTTGGGAGGGATTATTATTAGGCTCTGTGTGGAGTAAGGAAACTTGCCCGAGGTTTCGCCCTCTGCCTGGAATTGAACTCAGGTCTCTCATTTGCAAAGCGAGTGCTCTAATCACTGAGCTACAGGACTCCATGTGGACAAAGGGGCCAATATCTGCAGTCCATACTTTGCAACTATACAAATGTAATTTTGTTGTTGTTGCAACCACAAATGAATGGCTGCTCTTGAGAGGCGCTTCCTGTGGAACTATTCTTCTGCATGAGCCACTGCCTTCATGAACCAAAGGAGTAAAGGGAAGAAAATCATTCTGAAAAATCTGTGGCCCACAGTCAATTCACTTTGTAGCATATTCTGTGAAGCGCTCTGAAACATCTTGAAGATTGGAGTCCTGTAGCTCAGTGGTTAGAGCACTCGCTTTGCAAGTGAGAGACCTGAGTTCAATTCCCGGCAGAGGGCGAAACCTTGGGCAAGTTTCCTTACTCCACACAGAGCCTAATAATAATCCCTCCAAAACCAAAACAATAATAAATTGGTCATTTTCAATCCACGACTGTTTATGGGACATTGCTGTGCGCAATTGGCTGCTGCGTTCGCCCACAAATATACAGTCAATTCACTTTACAGTCTATTCTGTGAAGCGCTTTGGGACGTCCTCCCGACGTGAAAAGCGCTATATCAAATGCAAGGATTATTATTATTATTATTATAAGGTGCTATATCAAATGGAAGGATTATTATTATTATAGGAAGAGCTGGCTCATGATGAACATACTGGCTGTTGGGAGCACAAAAATACTACGGGATGCAAATGTCAAAGCCACTCCATAGCTAA